CAGGATTGTTTTGAACATTTGCGGTTGGCCAGCTAAATATGCTATGATAAGTTGACATATCGATGGCTGAGTGGAAGATCGACCTCGGCAGCTACTTCGAAAACGCCCTATCTCAGAAAATTGTTCAACAACTCCCTTTTCAGAATTTGATTGAAGACTCAACTCACTCAACTCTGTAAAAGGCATGTTTTTGCTTGGTTCACGCATTTCATAATATTGTCGTTTTAAGCAACCACCATCTGGACATCCGGGACAACCTTCTTCCCTGAAAAAGTTTCGAAGGGCCTCTTTTGCCTTAAATGAGTGAGCAATTTTAAGAAACGAACTCATCTTTATCTGATGGTCATCTGAAGTGACAAAGGGGGTTGTGAGTTTTTTATTAGTATGAATGCTTCATGACGCTGTGGTGTAGTGGTAAGCAGTGCGCGCTTCTACTCCGCAGCACCTGGGTTCAAACCCTGGTCAAAGCAACATGGCAAAAAAATATAAAAAAAAGGTTTTTTCTTAACAGCGGTCGTTCCTCGGCAGGCAATGGCAAACCTCCAAGTGTATTTTTGCCATGAAAAACAGCTTCTCATAAAATTACAATCGCCGTTCGGAGTCGGCGTAAAACTGTAGGTCCCTCCGCTTTGTGTGACGACATCAAGGCGCACGCCACAAGTCGGAGGAGAAGCTCGGCCAAACACTAACATATGTGTAAGCCCGAATCTATTATTATTATTAGAATGCTTCATGAATCCATCAATAAATTCCTTGACTATGATAGTTGCTTTTTATATGAATATGTACGTATGTCGAAAAGGCGAATGTATAACAATGAAAAACTCGGAATATACATAGCTTTAGGGTTACGAGTCCCTATATTGGGTCGGGCGCATCTTGTTACCATCAGTGTATTTTTTTATCATATTTGCAAATACGCCACTGAACATAACATAATAGTTGCGTTCCTTATCTCCCAGAAATAGTCATAAAAAGTCCGAAGTAGTCAGATTTAGTCCAAAAAGCGTTCCTTAACTCCAAAATGACAGCAAAAATTAGAGAGCAACACTAAGTGAGAGTGACTCTCTTTAGTCCGAAGTAGTCAGATTTAGTCAGAAGAATTTTTGCTGGCAAAATCTTGAAAAGTGTCAAACTCAACTGAATTTAAATTAACGGAAATTAAAGAATACACAAACAATTCGCTGGCTATCGAAGATCGAAAGTGAAATTCATATTATGAGCTATGCAAACGTGTCGAAATTTTCGTTGAGTATCGAATTTTTTGTCGAACAGAATTTTGCTTTCGTTGGTGTAGCGAAGTGGTAGAAAAGTGTGAAAAATTTATGATTTTGCATTTGTTTTTTTTTACTTTTTGGAGGCTATACACTAATTTAAAGCAATTTGTATTAATTTCAAGCAGTTCTAACGTCGTGGATAGTAAACACAAGCTCGGAAAGTCTGGTTTTACATATGAAAGAAAATCCCAATACGCTGTTGGCACGATCTCTGAGAACAAAATCATGGAGTTGTTTACAGTTTTAATATATTTAAAATAGATTTGGATCACCAAATTTCTTAAATATATTGTATGTCAAAATATATTCGAAAGACTTCACTTAAACTCTCTTAAACGTTTTTTGCTCCTGGCCAGTTTTCTAAGCTCTCATGCTCTGACGAATCGTTCAACCAGAACTCCGTTGTACTAATTAAATTTTTTTTACCACGTTTTTATAAACTCGCTTTCTTTTTTATTTCATTTTAATTTGCACAAATTTACATATGTACATATGTATGAGCACACCATGGTAATTATTGTACCATGTAAGCACACTATTTAGTTTGCCCGATTTGTAAACAAAGCTTCTCAGCGGTGAAAAATATACTATTGTGAACAACCTAAACGAGCGAAATTCACAATAGCGCTATTCTTCATCGAATGAGCGCCATAATACCAAATGCAAATTCGTTCGATCAGCACTTTCGACCACAGTCGAAGATCGAATGCAACTTACGGGAATAGGCTAAATGTGAATAAGAAAAAGTAAACAAACAAATGTCAAATTAAACTCTGAGTTTATTAAACGCCCCAATGAGTACACTTGACAGTTGTTCATAAACTCAAACCGTTAAACAAATGTCTTCACTGAATGACCCGAAGTGCTTCACTTTTGTTTGAATAAATCGAGTAAAAGGTCTGAAATTTTAGGAAAAAGCAATTGCTTATTTTCATTCATACGGACCAATAGATGTTTTGCTAAGTTACAGTTAACCCAGCAAAGTCTTAATTATCTCGGAAACTGTATGAGCTTCTATAATTATTTTGGTGACTCTAAAAAGCCTAAAATAGCACGTAATTCCTCAACAATATTTACCCGTATTCGACCAAAGTTTATAAAGTTGGTCGGCTACCGCGACGTCAAGCGATTTTTCAATGTTCAACGGGCAATATTTGAAAAGCACATAAAACACCCAAAATAATAAACCCGGATAAGCAGTAAAAAGTCTTCGCTGGATGGATGTTTTGCTAAGTTACAGTTGACCCAGCAAAGTCTTAATTATCTCGGAAACTGGATGAGCTTCTATAATTATTTTGGTGACTCTAAAAAGCCCAAAAATAGCACGTAATTCCTTAATAATAATTATCCGTGTTTGACCAAAGTTTAAGAAGTGGGCCAGAGAGCGTAACGTCAATCGGTTTTTCAGTGTTTACTGGGCAATGTTTTGAAAGCACATAAAAGGCCCAAAAAATAAGCCCAGATAAGTAGTAAAAAGACTTCATTGAATGAATGTTTTGCTAAGTTACGGTTAACTTAGCAAAGTCTTAATTATTTACCAAATGGTCGGAGCACAAAAAAAATTAAAAGTGGCCAAAAATTAAAAGTAGCACACAATAAGCACAATACGAAAAAAAAATTTCTTCATTTTTTTCATTTCAGCGCCGCTAACTGGATTGAGCTCAGTGGCGTAGCCAGGGGGGGATATGGGGGGATAGATCCGCCCATTCGTCATTGAACTACAATTATTTACTTTTGAATTAATAACACAATACTATTTTATCCTTCTGATTTAAATTTTTTTTTTATTTCAGACGGATGACAAATTATCTTTTAATGAATATATGAGTAGTCCACTTGCAAGCAGCGTTATGTGATTTTATAAAAGTAAACCACAAATTAAAAAAAAAACGCCTACGACAACAAGTAACATCCGAGCTGTATCTTTTTTTATTACATCAAAATTTGGATAAAAAAATAAAATTGCAGTGTGGTAGACTTGCAAATTTTATATTTAAAAATTTAATATTGCAAGTTTTGAAAGAGTAACTTTTACATAGCTAGCTTTTTTTAGCTTTTCGCGTTCTCTCCTCTTGGAAGATTGGTTTGCTTCTTTTTTGCGACCTCTTCCACTAGGCACCGAAACTACCACGTTTTCTTGCAGTTTTCTCAGTTCATACGAAGAGGAGACATTTGAAAGTGTATAAATAAGTATTATAGCGACTTTTGCAAGAGTAGTTAACATTTCATGCTATTTTTTTCAGAATATAGAAAAAATTTTCACTCTGCTGTTAGTGGACATGAAACCCACCAAAAACTAAAAATCTAAAAAAAATTTACATAGCGCACTTTGCAAGTGGACTACTCAATTGTTGAATATGCTATCTTATTTGTCCCTTCTTTTTATACAATTAAGGAGCGGCTGAATGGTTTAACGATGTTAGCGGTACATAATGATGTGCCGATTACAACGCAAGAAGTAATTGAAAAAATGTGTGTTAAGCAACGAAGATTAAAAATCGCTTTATAAGTGATAAGATTTTGTAGACTTGTACATAAATAAATGTAAATAGATACGCGTAAATATATAAATATGCAGATATATTCAATGTGTAAAAACTGAAGTGTATACTAACGAAACTTCTACAAAACAAAACTGGACTACACACTAATTAATTAAAATGGTGTAATAATTTAATTTTTTAAATTTAAATAAAGCATGAATTCCTCATGGAATAACCGAGTAGACAAAAAATATATAACGGTAGAATGGCACATACATACATATATGAAAGAAAGCCCACAGTCGACGCACTAGAGGCAAAACACGAGTTTTTTTCAAAATCGTAGATCTTCGCTTAGAAAAGAGATAATAGAATGCAGCATTTAACCCTTTAATGCAGAGTCTGTCATATATGAAACGCTTTTTAACCCTTTCAAGGCAGAGGAAAAAGGTTCTCAATATGCTTTTGAACGTGCTTTTTTTCATGTTGACGTAGATATTAATCGTAGAAAATGTGTCCATAGTAAAATAATAAAAAAAAAAAAATTTATAAAAATAAAAAAAAAAAAATTAAAAAAAAAAAAAAAAAAAAAAAAAAAAAAAATAAAAATATTAAAAATAAAAAAAAAATAAATAAAAAAATTAATAAAAAGTACGTTGAAAACATATTGAGAACCATTTTGCCTCTGCCTTGAATGGGTTAAAAAGCGTTTCATATATGACAGACTCTGCATTAAAGGGTTAAATGCTGCACTTTCGTAAAGATATCGACCAGTATTACCATTTTTGTTATATACATTTTTTTGTGAAAGCTGACAGTTTACGAGTTATTAGAGTTTAAAGGTAGCTTCTCTTTTTCCAATCTGGCCACTCGGGTACAGCATCCAATGTCCCAAGAATAGTTTGTACCATGATAAAAGCATAGTAAGGTAAAACCGTTCTCTCAATGCGTCGGCCATGATTTTTTTTGAAGTTTGCCAACATTTTAAATTCGTTCAAAATTGAGAGTAAAAAAAAAGGAATTGTTCAAAGTTGTTGTTTGAGATTGAAAATGAGAATGTGTGTGTGAGTCGGTGTGTAAAATTTTAAAATTAAATTGCTTGCAAACGTCAAGAATTTGAAAAATTCCTCTCAGCGGTTCTACCTTCCTATATTTTTATCATGGTTTGTACGTCATTAATAATGACTCATTATACATAGTATGTTACAGCAAACAAATTGAAATGAGTACGTGATGTTTTATTCTAACAATAATCTATAATATTTTATTTTTATCTTCTACATTTAATACAGTTAATTATTTACATTAATAATAACGTATTTTGCTGAGTGGATAAAAATCTTCGTCCGTATCACATCGCCAGGCAATAAATATTAATCTTGATTTGTACTTGGGTAAGGAAACATCGTACCTTTATCTGTAAGGGCAAGAAAACAGTTATACATCTTTTATGCTCCAAATTTTCATAACACTGTGCAACAGTATTGTTAGGTTGAAAGCAAATTAAAGCATTCACTTTCGGAGAAGAAACCTACATTTGTGGAACTGAGGTTTCAATGTAATTTTTTTATGAAAACAAGGTAGTTATCAGTGTAGTTTCAATGCTTTAGCAACAGCCCACATGCAGCGTAATTTGCACTGTGCACTGTGTATTTTATTTGTTATTTTATACCTCAAAATGTATTAAGTTTACCTGAGGAGTTGTAAAAATTTCCACTTAGACTAGGTTTTGGTGGAAGTTTGGGAGTGCCTTCGGTTATGGGAAAGAATTCTTTTGGAGACGATTTTGCTGTTAGCGCACTACTACTAACTAATGATGGTGGGGGAAAGCGTTGCTCATGCTGTTGTTGCTGCGTCATCGCTGTTGTATAAGAGTTGATGGAACTAGGTAGTCCTGATGTTTGTGCTATTGCAGCCGATTTATATCGATGATGATAAGGCGGTGCAATTGTGCCGTGCAAATCAGATACTTGAACTCCGCCGGTTGGAATGTGTGGGGAAATCGGAGTCATTGGCGTCATTGGAGATGTCGTTGTAGAGGAGCTAAGTGCAGGCGATATGGCTTGATCATCCCAAGTTGACACCGATATTGAAGTACCAGCATTAAAGTGACTTGCAGCGATTGTAGGCGGCGGAAACGGGGGATAAGATGGCGGGCATTGAGAAGAATTCGTCGTTACTGAAGACGAAGCTAATGATGAGCCATCAGTAGCCGTTGCTGAGTGTAGCGACATTGCAGCCGATGCTGCTGCTGCTGTTGATATCGACGAAGATGCGACTCCGCTGCCACTGGCACTTGCAGATGACGATGACGATGATGAACGTTTTTCTATGGCCAAATTACGTCGAATCATAATACTGCTTGTATTTGGGAGCAATAAGTTACTCCTGCCATTAAATTCGTTTGTGTAGCTACGAGGATATGTGCCGATGGACTGATGAAGCCTAGGCGGAATTGGTGGTGGGCTGAGTTCACCATCACGTGGTGGTAGCTGAAGGTTAAGAAAAAGAATTGCATTGACGAATTATTTAAATTTTCTACTCTTCGATGGGCTTACAGTCGGTGCATCTGGAGCTTGCCTTTTCTGTGCTAAATCGGCACAGCTTTCAGTACGCTCCTTTCTACGAGGCGGCAACGGTGGTGGCACGGAACGATATTCAGTGCTAAGCGGGGATGGGACGTTCACATGAGGAGATACGGGTAGTGGAGAATTGCCTGATTCAATGTCAGGCAATTGAGGACTTGCATTGCTCACATGGGCTGCGCTTCCAGGAGTTCCAGCGTTAGTTGGACTAAAAGAATGAGATTATTTCGATAGATGCAAATCGTTTTGATTTCTTTTACGTATTTTTTTTTTTGTAAACATTTCACCCCAAAAATTTCTCAGTAATAGAATAATTAATGATTTAAATACATGCCTTTCAAATATTGGCAGAACGCGTTCTCCGTACTCACCTAAAATGGTTTGTGCTGAATTTGTGCGGATGTGATGGCGCATTCTGGAATGGTGTGCGTGTACTCGTGGAACCCACATCGGTTCGTGGACTTATCACCACACGTGGCAACGGTGATGTCAACGGAGGCTCTCCACCTATTTTTTCCGATACCGCTGCGGCCGCATTGCTGCTGTTGCTATTCGACCTATTGTGTTTTTGCTGGTGCTGATGTGGCGAATGATGTGCTCCATATATTTCATCCGACATATGCCAAATATTTTCCAAACGCGTTGGCGGCGTATCAATTGGTGTGTATGACATCTTTTCTGCGCTGCTAGCACATGCACCAACCCCAGTTAAAACACTTTCACCACCACTCCACGCATTCGGTCCAGCCGACGATGAGATTGATTTTTTGGGTAGCTGAGGTGCCGCTGAGTGTCCGCCCCCATCCTCTCCATTAGAATATTGAAATTCCGTTTTATGCGCAGATTCTGTACCATGGCCAGCATGTGCGCCCCCACCACCTGGGGCATTATGAGCCCACATTTGTGCTTCTCCATTGCGTTCAGGTAGATTCACACCAATAGTATTTGCTGCGGTCGTCGTCTGAGCACTTGTACTCGTATGTGAAATATAACTGATAGGGCTATGCTGATCACCTAGTGTGCCTCCACCAATGATCGCCGCGCTACCGCTTCCACTAACTGCTTGAATGGTTGACTCTACTGCATTGCTGCTGCTGTGAGTCGTTCCACGTGTACCAAAAATTGATGACGCTTGTAATAAGGAATTGCCGCTAACGCTACCAGTGCTTACACTATTGCTGTTGCTAGTGTTGTTTTGGCGTCGCGGCTTTATGCCCGGAGATTTCAGAGTAATTGATGCCCATTTGCGCGGCTGTTAGGGATAAAATGAAATGCATTATATTACAGTTAGTCAATAAAGTTTAGGTAGAGCGAATTTTTTACAATATGGGCACTGTTTTTTCAATATTTTATTTTTCGCAATTTTTTATAAAAATATGGTTAATTCTACAACAAAACCCCCAAAAATTAGAGATCAAAGCTATGTGCAAAAACAAATAAAAGTCCACAAAATTTGATTCAAATATTGCACTTTTTATTTACGGTCTCTAGAAAAAAGTGGAGTATCAGTTTTTTGGCCAATTCAATTTTAGTATAACATAGTGCAACTTTAAGGTAGCTACGACTTACCATTGATTTTTGGCAATTTTTTTTGTTGAAGGTGTCGCACAATTTTTCCATATAAAAAATTATCGAACATTATTTTATATGGAGAAAATGAGCGACACCTTCAACAAAAAAAATTGCAAAAAATCAATGGTAAGTCCTCGCTACCTTAAACTTGCACTTTGTTATACTAAAATTGAATGGGCTAAAAAACTGCGGAATTTTCTTTAATTTTGCACAAGTTTTGGGACTCTGATTTTTGGGGTTTTTATTGTAGAATTAACCATATTTTTATAAAAAATTTGCGAAAAATAAAATATTTGGAAAATAATATTATTGTAAAAAGTTCGATGTACCTAAACTTTTTTGACTGACAGTAAACTTTTTATAAAAATAAAAAAAAATAAAATAACAGCATTGGCTATTTTCTTGTATTACTCACAAATTTAGGTGCTTGCTTGCAGCCCCTGGGTTCTATGCGAAGACTTGCATGATACAAATAATTTGATATCTCCGTGTCAGTCATGCCTTTGAATGGATCCAAATTTTCCAAGAAATTCTATTAAGAAAAATAAAATAATTCATGAAAATATTTGAGTAAAAATTTCAGATCGAATGAATTTGGGACATCAGCATATAAATCGAAACCAACAGAGCGGTTTGAAATTGTCTTGTATACCGAAAGCGTCTTCTTTAAGTGCTTTCAAAACTAATTCCTAGCGCATGATACTTACTCTTATTTTTGAATCCACCGACAGACAGTAGGGTTGATTTTGATAAAGTAAAATTTCTCCAATTATTTCCGACACTTTTCGCCGTTTGGAGAAATTTATAAGCTCTGTGTTGGGCAAAAAGTCAGGATTGCCTTCTTCTAAATGTAAAATATTAGTGAGATATCGACCGAAAAATGGCACACATGGCGGATTTATTGAGCGTAAACGTTCCTGATACTTTTTCAAGCGTCCATCGTTGGGTTCCCAACATTCTTCTAGGAATTTCTCATATCGTGCTGGTAAACCTTGAAATGTTAACTTTAATCGGTACACAGAAGCGCTCCCCATAGCAGCACTGATAGATAGAATTCCATTGAAATTATTCAATTCAAGCATTACCATCATAACTTCAATGGCTCGCGCCACTATTGCAACTCGCTCTTCATAATTTTCCGCTTCTGTTATTGACTTTTCAATCCATCGTGTTACATTGGTGGTGTGCTTCATAATCTTGAGTAAGTTTGGACTTTTCACGTCCTTGTCCTTTTTTGTCCATGGCGAGCCAACAAGTTCCGATGGTTTCACATTTTTGTATAGTTCAAATTCAAGTAGGGTCAATTGTCGCGCTAACTCTAAAGGATGAAGCGTTAACAAGTTAATTTCAGAATCAGGAACATTAAGATGATGTTCAATAGGTGGCGGGCTATGTCCATAAGCGAATGTAATCGGTTTGTGACTCTGTTCTTGGTCATTCTTTAAATACGAAAAACATGTTTAATTTTAATTAAAACCAGTTAACGCGCTTGAAATATTTTGATTAGCTTACCTTTCGTTGAACGATTTTCAAAACCGAATCCACCCATTTTCGCATTGACTTGCCATTTACAAGACCCAAAAATTTTTCCAACTCATCCAAAAGCGTTGGATCTTTCTCAAAGTCATAAAAATGATGATCCACCCAATGCCGCAGCACATTCAGCACACGAAACTGCACCGGTTGAACATATTCTTTGCGATAACGTTTCCAGTCTTCCCGTTGCGAATTTTTATGCAACTTGTCTGTATCACAATTCAATGCATCCTTATCAACACCCTGTACATTGTCCTGATAAACCAAACTCGGGTCAGGTATATGAAATCTTTCTATCAACAACGATAACAGATTACGAGGAGTGCAAAAGTAGCGATATGTAGTCAGGAATGTGCGCACGAACATCGGATCGGCATAAATGTGATAGGTTAATCTTTCGATTAATTTGTCTAGTGTGGCGCCCTGAAAAATGCATGGAAAAAATCGTATTGATAAAAATTCATACTCCATTTTAAATTAAGGAAAGAGATCCATTCCAAATTTGATTGATAAAAGCTAGATTAGACTCTCCATAATGTATTTTTTCCTATTTTTTAGAGTGTTTTCGCAGGCGCAAACAAAATATATTTTATTTTTGTTTCATACACCTTGGACGCAACATAAAAAAATAAAGTGGTTTATAGTTTCCGTACCTTTATTTGTGGCACACTAGCACTTTCACGCTCTTCCAATACGATATTATCCGGGCTATCAGGCTCAGCAAACTTATATATATCCGGACTAGGCATACGCAATGGATGTTTCTTTTCAATATCCAACAATATACTATCAAGTATGCGATCTAACATGGATTTGGTATTAACCATTATTAAATCAGCCATCCAGTCGTTTTTGTGTTGAGCATTACGAGCAGTGAGTATAATTGGAGGTTGTACGCGAGGCGCTATTTCAAATGAATGCTTCAATTCGTCTGTATCTGTTCGATCACTGATTTCAACGCGGCGCATAAAAAATTTTTCCTTTACGCGATATTCAAAACACGGTGCGCCATTTGATGTCGCTTGCCGCTTTGTATTCGCCTTACAGAGGACCATAAGTCCATCAAATAGATAAACTTTGCGTTCGGCAATACGCTTTCCGGAACCCAGTTTACCAAGGAAATCATCTAGAATTTTCATGGGATACACATGTAATAAGACAAAATGGTACAATAATTATGGTACAATAATTATTGTACCATGGTAAGACACTGATAAAAAAAAAACAATTATATTCAACAATGATGAAGAAAGATAGCTATTACTTCTATCATTTTTATAAATTATTGTCGTTCTTCCACAATATTTTTTCATTAAAAACGGCCTCAAGCTCTATAAAATTGTTGAATATAATTTTTATAAAGCCATAAATAACAAAAAAAAAATCATAAAAAGGATGGGTATACAAACCTCTTATGAATTCATTGCAATTTTGTCCAACATCTTTATCCCAATGTTCGACGGTATTCTGTAGTTCACGCGTGCGTTCAATTGCCAATTGGCGACGAGCGCGGCTACTCAATGGCACATGCGTCTCTCTGGGACAAGAAAGACAAAAGATAGGTTAAAAGGCTGTGTGCATATGCATAATTAATAGAAAAGATATTATATTTAGAGAAAACATGCACCACTAAGAAATATGCGGAGGTTACAGGTTGTTCAGGGTCAGTGGAGGGCCTTGGGTAACTGTTCATAAGGCCACATAGACTAGCTTCTCGGTTTCTTTTATGTGTTATAAATATTAAACGTACGTTCAAATATGGTTAACGTAAACAAAGTTACTTCGAAAATTCCCAGAACGATTCGCAACTGGCCATATTTTTATATTTCGTACATTTTCTTTTTTCTAAATAACTATCAGCGCTCCGTACAAATAAAATAATATACTTACTTGGGTAGACTTCCCAATATGCTCTCAAGCTCACTTTGCAATGGGCACAGTAAGCCTTGCACTTGTTTAAAACTCTCAATATCATCTTCAGAACGACTAAGCTCCCTCAATACGTTTATGTAATCGAAGTAAACAAAAGCATGCGATACTGGCACCAAAAGCAATTTAGGAAGATAATACTTAACAGCATCACGGAATCCATGTCCAGCAGACATTAAGGACATTGCCTGGATAAATATATAAACATTATTTAATTTATGAATCAATAGAAATTAGAATGTTTAACTTACATCCGGTTTAGCTAGCAAATTTTGAAGCGCATCTTTAGATTTTTGTGAAGTCACTTCATTGGCATATTTCGAATATACATGCAATTCTTCACCTTCTGCCAATTCTTCAAAACAACTGCCCACACAGGGCGTACTTTGTTCTTGTGACATCTCTATAACATCTTCTAGCGAACCGAGCAAGGTAACTGTTACTTCGTAAATATCCATTATATTGGAGAATATAGGCTCCAACTCTCTTGGATCGCGTACAATTTTAGCTAGCTCTTCGCGGAAAACACGTATTATCATATGTAAATCACGTTGATACTGTTTTTCATCGTTAATGAGATCCTTTACAACTTCCTCATATGTGGTACTGGCGCGTTGCGCTGGTAGGGTTGGAAGCGTGATTGCCAAATTGCTAGATTTCATATCATTTTGATAAAACATATCCATTAACACTTTGTCAGCGCACATTGCTACTTCAATATCTTCTTTCGTTATTTCCAAATGTTTTATTTTGCGAACATAATTGCCAGCCAAATTTAGTATATCTGCAGATATATACTCCAATATCGCAACCAGGAACACAGAGACATTGCTGTCAATTTTATATTGAAGTACATCCTGTCGAGGAAAGTTGTATAATTAGTTAATTTATCAAAAAATTACATAAAACAATAAAACTATTTAAATAGCATTTGAATTTTAAAACGGCTTCTATATCGTGGACTTCTCCAAACTATAATATATAAAATAAATAGAAGTAACTCGCTGCCGAGTTATAACAAATACGAGGGCCATATGTTTGGAGTATTTCGAGTGCTTCTTTGCCAACACTCGAAGACGTGAGTGGGTAGTCATTTCCCAATATTTTTGGGAGTGACAGTTATTGGACAAATATAAAACTACGTCATTTCGGTTACGCAGATACGGATGTCATGGGAACAATTGATAATCCGTTGTTGTTGTAACAGCATACAAATTCCCCAAAGAGATACAAATCTGGGTCGTTCCGTTTACGTAGACCCGATTATGGTGGAAAAGGTGTTGATAATCCGTTGTTGTTGTTGTAGCAATCCTCGGTACTATCAGATATTCTACGTTTGTAGTAGGCTCACGGAAGTTGAATAGTGATCCATTTAAATCGAAGCGGGCCTATCTCCTTGGCAAAATTCCAAAATCTAGTAAGTTGAAATGTTGCAACTCCCAGCAATTTTTTCCGGATGATTTGTAAAGTATCTACGCCGTTGCAGTGGTGAGTGCAAAAAAAATATAATTTTTCTCGAGCCCGGATAATTTTCAACGTTTTTCTCATTTTTTTTTACAAAACTTTCACCTAATTAATTACTAGCATATTCTCATAGAATTATAGTAAACCTTTTGAAGCATGCTATGTACTCTGTCCGTTGGCAGCACGCATTTTTTCTTTTTTGAGGAAACAGTTTCCCTGGCTTCGTTTAAAGCCCATTGGTCGATTGGATATGGAAATGATTTCTTCGCCTTCTCTTCCACATCCTAGAAAAAAAATTAAAAATGGTTAACTATTGATTTCGCGAATTTTTTTTTTATAATTTCATTACCTGTACGGTATGGGGCAGTGGTTTAGCGCATAACATCGCTAAAATGCGTAAGCAAAGTGTTTCCACAAACAGTAGTGCATCTTCTTTGGCCGATAAGCGTGGGTGCACTTGTTCTAGCACCTTTATGAGAGAAAATTGAAAAAAAATCTGTAAAAAAGATAAGCTTTCAAAAATTGCATAAAAACCCCCACCTTCCTCAGGGACGGTATAAATAATCCTTTCCAGCGCCCTGCATTTTCGCTTTTGGTAAAATCGTATCCATCATCATCGCAGCTGCTGCTACAGGCATGCTGAGAAGAGAACATTTCGATTCTCTAATCGATTAGCCAACTCTAATAACAACCTCCACGACCTACACCGTTAGGGTTCACGTTGCACCCCCGTCACAATTGTAAATTGAGACGAAGCTATCAAGCTGGAGTTATTATATTTGCACTAGTCGCCATTGTTAGTTTAATTTCAGAATGTCTATCATTCCCCAGATTTTTGATTACGGCTCAATTGTGGCACTACACGAAAAGTATTGGATATGATATTTACTAATAATTCATCAGCTACTGTTTGCTTATTGCAATGCTTCACTTTACTTTTTATGCCCTGCACTGTGCGCCTATGAATTTATTATTAAATTCACTTTGTACAAACATAAAATTTTATTACAGAATGCGTATATCTATTTTGCGATTTGTAGTAAATACAGGTTGAAAAAATTAACCAAATACTGAAAAAAATCGATTCGATTTTCACTCACTTTACAGAGTTGCAAATAATTGCACTTATCGGGTTTGTCAAGTACTATTTTGATAAGAAATTGTGGCCACGCATTTATATAAAATAAAGTATAAATAAATAAAAGCCTGTAAAAAGAGAGTTCTTTTATTTATTAAAGATACAATGCTGAAATAAGTCGTCCATTAATAACATAAATGTGTAAAATGTTCAAGAAATATTTACAATAGGGATGTTGTGGAAATGGTCTGGGATTTGCAGTTGGAATTGCATTTGCATATTTTTTGCTTGCTGACATGGCAACTATGTGCACTTTAATGTTATGAATTTACAAATGCAACAAATATGCAAATCCAAGAGCATATGCACAAGATCCTGAACGGCCCTAATGTTTATAGTACTTTTTTTTTAGTGTGATTTAATGAAACCCTACAGTAGAAATCCGACGGGTTTATGACTTTACTAAAGTTAATGTGTTTTCAAAACGGGGACATAAAAAGATATGCATTTAATTCACTAGAGGACACACTAGAAACTCTACGGCATGCTATGATTAAGGTTTTGACCAGAGACCGAAAATAACCGGCCCATTTATCGCTGTGTCACAAATATCTTGGTATAAAAAATAAATCACTCACAATAACTCTTATAACAAGTTTTTGGCTTATCTGCATTGCTTAGACTTTTATTTGATTTGTTGTTTTTTTTTTACGTTTCGAATTGACCTTTTGTTTTACTTTTTTGTTTTAAATGCAACGGTATACAAGTAGGCCATTAGTATAGTTTATGCCATGATACAAAAATTTGAAGGTAGAACCGCTGAGAGGCACTGAACATTTTTGAAGTTTGCTAACATAACAAAAATGTTTTCAAATTTTCAATCGCACAATTACATTCTCACTTTCCGCCTCAAATAAAAGAAAATTTGAATATTTTCATCTATTTGTTTTTTGTTTTTGCTTTTATTTGGCATTTGAGTCGCTCTGGAAATATCAATTTTATTAAGTAGACAAACTTCAAAAAATAAATGATAGCCGACGAATTGAGCGAGCGGTTTTACCTTTAAATATTTGTATCATGGTATATTCATTGAAGGGAAGAAGATGGGACGAAAATCAAGCATTGAATTCCGAAAATGTATACGAGTAGTGATACAAAAAAGTTTCAGTTAAAGTGTGTAAAAAAGTTTATAACTGTGATCATTTGAGTGAACAAAAATAGTTTTACTTGCTATTCTTTAGTTTGTTTTACTTCGTTTGCATTTTCATCATATATTTTCACTGCGCCATAATTAAATTTACTAACTCACTCACTAATTTACTAACTCACTCACTAATTAAAATAATTTGCAAATACCTAACTCACTGTTTATTCGACGGTGAAAATTTTTTATTTAATATTGCCTGATTATAAAAAGGCAATAATTTGACCATCTAAAAAGAAAATGAAATTAAAATGGCAACGTCTTGATTATAAAAAGGCAATAAGATGACCATCGAAAAAGAAAATAAACCTAAGAACGGCGGCGTCTTGCGTTTATTTGCAAATAGTATCGCTAATCAATACTTATTTGCGTGATTTAGGGCCGGTTGTTCAATGTATGATTAGCACTAATCGGAGGTAGAAGCTCTGGTTATATACAACGACTGCTTTATCGATCACATGTTATATGTATGATGTCGAAAACGTCGATAATGATGTTTAACCGGCAAGTAGTGATAACCAGACATTGAACAACCGGCCCTTAGTTATTTGCAAATAAAAAATTATCTCAGCGTTTATACGACAAAGTTTACCATTTTGCAAATTGCAATTTGCAAATAAGACGGGCGTACAAACGTAGTAATAAATAACTGCGGCTGGCCTTTATTTTCGTTAGCGATTCCATTTCTCACAGTCATAAAACGCTTACACAGTGATATATCTCAAAAAGTAAAAAATAAATGGGTATTGATAGAAGAAGTTACAATGGGTAGGTTCAGAAGGCGCAGCAGTTGAGCGCACCCGTTTCTAAAAAAATCAGTGATCGTTATGCGTCTTCTGATCGGCTTGATGCATTAACTGTCAAATTCAACTCTCAGGGCCGGTTACTCAATGTCTGGTTAACACTAATCTGCGTTTAAACATCGTTATCAACGTCTACAACTCCATGCATACAACAGGGGGTCGGTAACGTCGATAACTATGTTTAACCGAGGATTAGCGTTAACCAGACATTGAGTAACCGGCCCTCAAAGGTACACACCAACATGTTGTCTCAAATGATCAGAAAAATATTACTGAACAGTTTTCAGTTGATCAGAAGTACACAACAACGCGTTCAGAAGGTAAAATCTCAACAGTTACTGAGCTGATGCGCCTTCTGAACGTGCCCAATGTGTTAGGGCCGGTTGTTCAATGTCTGGTTATCACTACCACTACACTATCGACGATTTCGACATCATGCATGTAACATGTGATCGATAAAGCAGTAGTTGGGCTTAACCGGAGCTTCTACCTAGGATTTGTGCTAATCAGACATTGAACAACCAGCCCTTAAATGTGGACCAGTTATTTTCGGTCTTTGGTTTTGACAAATATACGGAGTATAATTTAATGGCATCTAACCAATGCCTGCGAAAATTTGCCTCCGCGATTGTATAATCCAGTTTTCATATTAAATTCAAAAAAATAGAAATAAAAAATAAAAAATTAGTTGCGTTCCCTAACTCGCAAGGAGTTGCAATAATTTACCAGAAAGCGGTCCCGTTACTCGATTCTCTGGCAAAGTAGGGAAAAATCTGACCTCCCTCGTTCAGAAGTTGAAATATTTTACGCGAAGAATTTTTGTTGGTATAATCTGGTAGAGTGTCAAACCATCAGCTGCTCAATGTTGTAAATACAACATTACGATGAAATATTTAGTTTTGTAAGTATATTCGTAATTTGCCTGTGTGTTTGCGTCTGCTTTAGCAAATCGCCAAAGCAGTGTATGCATTGTTCAACTTTGCGTTCAACATTTGCGTTCAACTCAATACAAAATTACACGATGGCCAAAAATATCAAAATTAAAAAAAAAAATATCAAAAATATTCGCCATAAAAAGGCGTTTGCATTGTTCAAACTTGCATTCAAATTTTGGTTGAACGGCCTTTCAACTAATCCAGAGATGGGCAAAGTGGCTCCCAGGCGCCTTTTGAACTTAGGAACCGGCTTGGCACATTTAAGTGGTAGATGAGGGGTAACATCAAGAGCCAGCATGAAGGGGGAAGAAGACCGTATTCAAATTTCTTGTACTCCGACTCTCATTACTAATATATATGATGCTTTTAATGTATTTTGTACACCCCTTTACTCTGAGAACTGATTTAGCTCTTGCGTAGCACTTGTTGGCTCTTTGACGGCTTTAAGAGCCAAAAATTTACCCATCCCTGTACTAATCGATTTCAACAAAGTTGGTCACCAGCCAACATTTAGCCATCCAACCTTTTTTCGTGCAACCCTGCGTTGAGTTGAAAGCAACGTTGAACAATGCAAACACTTATACAAATACAAGATCACGTAAGAACGGGACGTTGTTGTTGTTGTTGTAGCGGCTACAACAACCCCGCTCAGATCCGTTGATATCTCAGTCGTTGTCGTCGAGTTCCACTACCGGCAGCCCTAAGAAGTGTGCAGCCTCTACGGGGTCGGTCCATAGGGACAACTCCATTAGGGTTGTCGGGTTTTCCGGGCATGCAAAGAAATGTTTCGAGTCGTGAGGGGTCTATCCGTATGCCGGACACTCATTTGGCTCATCCTCATTTAGTCTACTCAGGTATGAGTTTAACCTGCTGCAGTAACCAGAGCGAAGTTGGGCTATTAATGAACCTCTGGACTTCGTTCGTCAGTTCATATAGAAGCCTCCTGACGTGTCTAGGCGAGGGCTCCTCTGCAAGCAGCTGTCTGTTGGGTGGCCGCTTGCAGAGCATTATGTTGTGCTCCCTAATAGGGAGCATTTTCGCCTCGTCATGGAGGTGGTGTTCAGGTGACATCAGGAAGCATCCGGTCGCTGTCCTGAGTGCGGTGTTCTGTGCTGTCTGTAGCTTCATCCACTGCGTCCTATTAGTCTCCGACGACCACACTGGTGCTGCGTAGTTTAAAACCGGCCGGCCTATTGCCTTGTACGTTGCCAACAATGTTTCTTTGTCTTTGCCCAAGGTACTGCCGGCTAGCGACTTGAAGACTTTGTTGCGGCTCTGTAATTTGTTGACAATAGCGGTTGCGTGCGCAGAGAAGGAGAGCAGGCTCTCGAATGTTACTCCGAGTATTTTGGGGTTATTCAGGGGAGAGGGCTAGACACTTTGCAGTGAAGAAGCGAGAAAAATCGGTGAGATAACCGTTTACTTTCGAACACAGCTCATCAATTCCATTCCCAGTCGCCATGATCGAGCAATCGTCGGCGTAAGAGACAATACTCCCTCTGGTGGTTGAGAGAGCATTGAAATATGTATAAAATTTAAACATTTGCGGGGAAAGGACACCACCCTGTTCAACCCCCTGTTTTATTTTCCTAAGTTTGTCTCTAAATATTACCGACGAGTGTCGACCACTCAGATAATTTTCCGACCACCGTTGGAGCCTCTGTGAGAGAGAGGAAGCGTCTATATCTTCTAGTAGCGTGGAATGGCTGACAGTGTCAAAAGCCTTTGACAGGTCCAACGCTACTGGAATCGTTCTCTCACAGCGACGGTTACGGTTAAGGCCACGAGTTATCTGAGTGTTTATGGCGTTAAGCGCTGTTGTTGTACTGTGCACTTTACGGAAACCATGCTGATGCTTCGCTGGGGTCAGGTGGTTCATGAAATAAGGGAGCAGCAGGGCCTCAACTGTCTTCGCTACCGGGGAAAGGAGTGTTATCGGTCGGTATGTCGATACGAATCTCCTTTGTTGGCAAGTTTCCCCAGTTTGAGCAGTGGGAGCACTCTCCCCACCTTCCAGATGTCTGGGATGATGACAGTGGCCATAGAAAAATTTAGGACCTCCGTTAGGTACGCTACTCCCGCA